GTATTATAGATATGTGTACATTTAATTTGTAAGTTATTTTTATTGATATTGTGCGTCAAAATGATTACAGAGTGAAACACTTAAAGACCTTCTGGTACATACAATATAAAAAAAAGAGAGCTATCTCCGTCAATGACCATGACCTTGACAACATATGTATGTTGTCTGTATTGTCTGTACAAAACATGTACAAAACTAAGTTTTCAAAGAAAGCGAACAAAAATCGATTTTTTTTACCCTTAAAACTAAAAACCTAGTTAAAATGCATTTGTTTAATGTTTTTAACAATTGCTTAGCAATTTCATGTAACATTTCTGCTTATCACTGATTGCCAAATTATTATTTTCTGTATGACGCGTAGTATTCAGGTGGCTTTCTTTTTCGTTATCTAAAAATTATATAATAAGTTTTGGACAAAACACATATAAAATTCTGCTGCTCATATATGTATAAATATTATATTGAAATATAAAAAGTAAATAATTAAATTCTAATTTAGTCCTACTTCTGATTATTTATTAACGCAATTAGCGTTAATATGCTTATATTAGGACCTTGAATAAGTTCTCGCTGTTTCTTCAAAGATGGCAGTAGCAGTACTCCGTGCATGGAATTTCGAATGGTAACGCACATGCAAGGAAGTACTGTATCTAACCTTACATTTCAGTGTATGATAGTTCACTTTAGTGTAAACAAAGTAATTTTTTATTAGTTCTGAAAATGTCTACTTTTGTGCCGAATAAAGTGTATTTGCGGGGAATTTTATTGCACTACTTTATTCAAAAGAAATCTGAAGCAGCTGAAGCGCATAGAATTCTTGTTGAGACTTATGGTGACAATGCTCTGTCGGATACGACATGCAGAGACTGGTTTCGACGCTTCAAAAATAATGATTTTGAACTTGAGGATAAAGAACGTTCTGGCGCACCAAAAAAATTTGAAGACAAAGAATTAGAGCAATTACTCGATGAAGACCCATCTCAGACGCTACCAGAACTTGGAAAAATATTACAAGTTGATGAGTCAACTGTTTCCAAACGTTTAAAAGGGTTAGGAATGATCTAGAAGCAAGGACATTGGGTGCCAAAGTGATTTTGTTACATGACAACGCTCGGCCTCATGTTGCAAAACCAGTAAAAACCTACCTGGAAACGCTTAAATGGGAAGTTCTACCTCACCCGCCGTATTCACCTGACATAGCCCCTTCCGATTTTCACCTATTTCGTTCGATGGCACATGGCCTAGCTGACCAGCGCTTTCATTCTTACGAAGAAGCTCAAAAATGGATCGATTCTTGGATAGCCTCAAAAGACATGTCGTTTTTCCGACGCGGGATCCATGTACTGCCAGAAAGATGGGAGAAAGTGGTATCTAGTGATGGGCAATACTTTAAATAAAATGTTTGTTTTCCTTATATTTTAAATTTAAGTTTCTATTTTGTAAAAAAACAGCGAGAACTTATTCAAGGTCCTAATACATAACGTATATGTTATAATGTTAATAAAAGATATAACTAAGTTTTTTTTAATTCAGATGCATAAGCTCCAGATTTCATCGAGTTAATGAACGTTTACTTGTATTATATTCTGATCTGTTCGAAAGCAGTGCAGATTACAGAAGACAAAACAGATCCATCTTTGTGCATCAGCGGATAACAGAACCTAAAGATCACAATCAATATGTTATATGGATTTTAATGTAATAATTAGTTAATAGAATTACTGTGTACACACATTCATGTGAATGTATATACATACAGGATGTCTCAATCTAACTTTCACATCGACATATTTCAAAAAGTATTAAAAAAATGTTTTCTATGAATGTG